GCAGCCATGTCTCATCAGTTGCCTTTTGCTTCATGGAGGCAAGAGGAAGATGACTTCCATTTCAACAGCAGATGGCTCTCATAGTAGCCAGCTCCAGCACTTCCTAGCCCAAGGAAGCCTGAGAAGTCAAGTAATTTGTTGGCTTACAGGATAATAAGAGGTTTAATTTGTGAGCAGACAACACTTCCAGCTGATGTCAATGAGAGCTGCAATATTTCTGAAAATCAAGCCCATTGGCTCTTAATAGACCTGGCCAAAATTTTTCATTCAACACTTTTTTTTTCAAAGACAAAGAACTTTTTTAAGGCAACTCTCAGGGTTTTTGTATGTGTGTAAGATTTTCCAGTGCAAAATATGGCTCCGAAAATTGCCGTACCCATCAACTTAGAGTGTGTCTGTATGTATGTGGTGGAAATAACCTTTCTTTGTATATTGGCAGCGTCCGGTGTTGACTCTGCAGGGTCTCCATGGCTGACTGTAGCACAGAAAGCCTGCACTTGATCAGCTGTGGCCTTGCTAATGGGTTTCAGTATAAAAACAGAGAGCTTGCTATGGCTGCCAGGAATCCAGATGGGATGATGGATGGCAAATGCTAAGTTTAAGTCTCAGTGTTAAAACCATGAAGATGTTTGTATTAAACTGAAATGTGGGTTTATTTGTTTTTTGTTTTGTTTTAATTTCACAAAAACAATTGGGCCATTTAATTCCCTCCCTCCTCTAATTGCTGCAGGCTGACTTATGCACATAATCATGAGATAAGGACAGAAGAATGGGACCATGCTGCACATGTGTGAGTTACATCAGCTGCAGCTCTGTACTGGGCATTAGCATGAAGAGGTTAAGGTAGGAAAGCGTGGATTACAATGCACAGTCTCCCCACCATCTGAGCAATTGTAATCACCACCAGCTGGATTTGAACCTGGGACTTCTGAAGCAGAGTATAGGAGCCTTTACCCTCTGAGCTAAAAGCCAGTTAGCTCCAAGCCCATGCTGCAGAGGTCTCTTGGTCTTAACTGTTGCTGTGGTCTCGGTACCATTTGCATTGCTTCAGTAACCATACTAGGAGCGTGTCTAGACTACAGGGTTTTGTCAACAAAAGTATACCTGCGTCTACACTACCGCCGAGTTCTGTCGACAGTAAGTCGACAGAACCCGGCAGTTTTGTCGACGGTGATAAACCTCATTCTATGAGGAATAATGCCTTTTTTCGACAGAGTTATGTCGAAAAGCGCTATTGCATCCACACTGTGCTTTTTCGAAAGAAAGCGTCTAGACCCTCTTTTTTGACAGAGGCTTTGTCAACAGTATCTGTTGACAAAAGCCAGTAGTCTAGATGTACCCTAGGTGTGTGAGTTACATACTTCCCCTAGGTGAGAGAAGCACGTCCAGAGCTTCAGAGATCCAGTCGAGATCCCAGACGAGCCCCTCCTTGTAACTACCACTAGGCGGATTTGAACCTGGGACCTATGAAACAGAGTATAGGAGCCTTTACCCTCTGAGCTAAAAGTCAGCTGGCTCCCAGCCCATGCTGTAGAGATCTCTTGGCTGTAATTGTTGCTGTGGTCTAGGTACCACTTGAATTGCTCAGTAACCACACTAAGGCTATGTCTATACTCGTGGCTTCTTGCGCAAGTATGGCTGTTCTTGCACAAGAATCCGCAGGGCGTCCCCACTGCCCGTCCGCTCTTGTGCAAGGAAATTTATAGTACGGCGTGGTAAGAGAGGGCTTCTTGAGCAAGAGTTAAGCTCCTTTTTATCAGGTGTAAGCCCTCTTGCGCAGGTGCTCTTGCGCAAGAGGGCAGTGTGGACGCTCGGCAGGGATTTCTTGTGCAAGAAACCCCTATGGCTAAAATGGCCATCAGAGCTTTCTTGCACAAGAGTGTGTCCACACTGCCACGGGAGCGCTTGCGCAAAAGCACAGCGCACATACGGCAGTGTGGATGTTTTCTTGCACAAGAGTTCTTACACAAGAACCCTTGTGCAAGATGTTCTTGCGCAAGAAACCGCTAGTGTAGACATAACCTAAATGTGTGGGTTACACAATGAGAGAGATGTGGTTCAGGTAGGGATTCTGGCCCATAGTGCCTCATGTCCCCTGTCTCAGCTGTGGAAAAATTATGTTTGGGGGTGTTGTTTGGGTATCAAGCTTGAGCTTAATTTCAGGTTTCTTTATCAATGGATCTTTCAGAGTTGGTGCCACAGAAACTACTGCAGGAGCTGGTTTTTGTGGTGGTTTCTGAGTCTTCTGAGCCATTCTCTTCATCTGCCTGGTACAGCGGGAACAATACCACACCAAGGGAGGATCATTGACTTCTTTGTCTGTCACCTGAGGTTTATGACAATCCTGGTGGTTTGTCCTCTTGACACCCCACTAACAGATTTCCAAAGGTAACTGTCATTTGCCGGCAAGGAACACTGGCTAAGCCCATTTCCATGAAAAAATCATGATACGGGAAGAGCGAGTCTCTTACTTGGGGGTGTTTGATGGGTTTTTCGTGGGGTTTTTTCATAATTAAGGTGAAATTTTCCATGAGTGTAACTCTGATGGCTATTTGACCAGCTCTAAGTTAGGTGGACAGGGCCAACCCTGCAGACCTCACTGTGAGCAGCTAACACAGTTGTAATGTAAGCCCACAGTCGGGCTTAAACTGCAGCAAGGGAGGTTTAGGTTGGACATTAGGAAAAAGTTCCTAACTGTCAGGGTGGTCAAACACTGGAATAAATTGCCCAGGGAGGTTGTGAAATCTCCATCTCTGGAGATATTTAAGAGTAGATTAGATAAATGTCTATCAGGGATGGTCTAGACAGTATTTGGTCCTGCCATGAGGGCAGGGGACTGGACTCGATGACCTCTCGAGGTCCCTTCCAGTCCTAGTATTCTATGATTCTATGATAATGTAGTGTAGGCTTTGTCTTCACTAGCTGCTAGGTGTTGTTTTAAATTGCCCCACGTTTTCCCAGACTAAACGAGGCCCCGGAGTCCTAACGGAAGGAGAAATAAGCGCACGTGGCCAAGTCTACGTGGAGATCTGCACCAGATGAACAAACAAAAAAAAATCACACCTTTATTAAACTAGTGCAAAAGGCTAGAGGGAGGCTCTTATTTCAGTTGAAGAAAAGCTAAACTGCAAAAAGCCTAAAACACTTAGGAATGACTTTATACTAAACCAATCTAAACTGCTCTTATAAGCGTCCCCATCAGGATTCGCATCCATGTAACTAATCCGGTGCAAAGGGGTGTGTAGATTAGGCCTCTGTTCCCTATAAGGTTGGCAACAGTCTCGCCAGGCCCCTGGGCAAAATGTGGGGGGAAGTGGCTTTGGGGGCCCCCTGGAAGAGGCATGTTTAGCGACTAGCCTTCCCCAAACTAGCTCTTTCCTGTGAGCCCCAATTAGCACTAGACTTGCCCCCATTCTTCCTGTAACATTCACCATCCAGCCCTAGGAAATGGACCGGCTTTGTAGGATTACCCTGCATTCTTCCTGTAACATTCACCATCCAGCCCTGGGAAATGGACTGGCTTTGTAGGGTTACCCTGCACGGGGGAGGTGTGACTGCAGGACATCTGACCTTGCTTTGATAAACACAGCAGTGATGCCACAGCAGCAGGGTCTAGCCCCCTGGTACGTAGCTAGGATTCAGGTGGGTTTTGTGCTGCTGTCACTGTGGCTTCCTCACTGGAATCACCCCTCCTGGTTGTTGTGTGGACATACCCTTGCAGAGAAGCAAGGAAAGCAAAAGCTGGACACTTCCTGCCATTCTCCTCTTTGTGGTGTGTGATGAACAGGGCCTGACAGATGTTTTCCAATTAAAAATAGATAAACCTGCTGGTCTTTCACATTAGAAAGGAAGGTCTTGTCTCTCCTGCATGATTGTAGAGCACCTGGAGAGCTAGTGAAACTGACATCTCTGAGAGGGAAATTAAGCAACAGTCAAGGGAGGAGGAATCCTTTTGTTATAACGGCTTAAAACTTTAAAGTTTTAGTTAATGCCTATTGAATTGCTTCAATGGCTCAAAAGCCTGGCAGAGGAAAGATCATTTTTTAAGATCCCCTGTGTTCTGACGTGTGAAGTTTACCAATGCTTCTCTCTACAGCCAATAGGCTAAAGAAAAATCCTTGCAGTCCCCTTGTATTTTGGGATGTGTCTACACAACACCCCAACTCAAAATAAGATAAGCAATTTGAGCTCTGCAAATTGTGTCTCTCAGCTCAAATCTATTTCAAAATAGCTTATTTTGAAATTTGGCGCAGCTATGCAACACCAAATATCAAAATAGAGCTTATTTTGAAATTTGGCACAGCTACGCAACACCAAATATCAAAATAGCATGCTATTTTGAGCCATCTCTTATCCCTCGTGCAACGAGGTTTACCAGGATGGCGAAATAGAGTGCCCGTTATTTTGAAAAATATTTCAGAATAACAGGTGGCTTGTGTAGACACAGGGTAGCTATTTCAGGATACCAGAGGTACAGTGTAGATGTACCCTCGGATGTAAAGAACATGCAGAAAACCTGCATTTTGGACAAAATCTCTTCCCTCCTGATGTGTAGACAGCCCGAAATGAATATAACCCAATTTTTAAAAATTCCTTTGCGGGTAACCTGCCACATGCCGTAAGACATTCTTCTGTGCTCAGGAATAAATCAGCTGACGTGCATTATTGATGTCTAGAATGTGGCGGTGTCTAGAAGCCTTTGCCATGTTGCCCATTTATTAGATGCTGTGCAAACCAAGAGCTGTGTAGTTGCATCACGGAGGTGCCCCAGGCAAAGCCTTGAAAATGACAGGGCACTGGATTGGGAATCGGGGGATGGGGGTTTCCAGCTCTGCAATAAGTCACTTCATCTCAAAGCTGAGGTTAACCACCCCCTAAAGTCCTCCTGTGTCCTTAAGGGCTCACTGCAGCTATGCTGGTGCCTGAGTTGGGGACATTCCATAGCATGTCCAAGACTTGCATGCCCTTTGGATTGGGAAGGAGTCTGGGGGTTAACTGACCTTCTGAGGGTTGCCAGCCGTTCCTTGCATTTTTTCCTATTGAAATGTCCTGAACTGGCCAATAGTACGGTGGACAAGTCCATATTCCGGCAGCTTCCAATTTGCTTCCTTTCCGATCATCTGTGATGAGATGATCAGGCCTCAGGTACCCTTTCTGCCATTGTATGTCACATCACATTACGCCTCCCCTATGCCACTTTTAAACTGGCATGACATTGACGACATGAACTCAGCATGCAATTGTTCGGAGCGGGATGGCCTGCTATCAATTTGGTGTGTGTATAGACTTGGACGGTGTTCAGTATGGACTGCGGCTTATGTCCCCCCCCCCCATCATGTTCGGCTATATCACGGGAATGTATAGCAGATGGAAAGAGGTAAGCAGGAACACATGGTGGGGTTATCTGAGGGTATCCACACAGGGCTTGGGTGTGTTGTACACCACGAAGCCCAGTGGCATGTGGGATTGCTGTCTAGCCTCACTCCAGAAGGTACAGCATGCTTTCGACATCGGCTTCCTAAAACAATGCAGCGTCCTTCCTCTAAGGATGACAAAAGCTTTATCCACTCAAGGGGGGGGGTTGGGTTGGTAAGAGTTTCCCACCATTGCTAACACTGGTGTAAACTCCACCAGTGGCAGGAGTAAGGTCCTGAACCTGACAGGCAGGGCAGAACCACGCTAATGGGTGCATTGCAAGCACAGGCTTTGCCTACGTTGAGAAGTTAATTATGATGAGGGTTGGTGCAAGGAGTGTTGACAGCCTCCATTGACCCCTGGGCAAAGTGTGGGGAGGAGCGGGCGCCATGCTCCCAGAAGGGGTGGGGCCTCAGGTGGCAGGGGTGGACCAGGACAGTCAGCTTTCCATGCTGCATGGAGTGCGCCTCAACCCAAACCCTCAGAGTCGCCCAGAAGGGCAATTTAAAAGGGGGGGGGGAGTCTATAGCTCAGGCTACAGTGGGCTGGGAGCTCCAAGCCCCTTTGAATTGCTGAACCCTGGACCAACTGCCCCTTTTGCCCCTCCTCCCCCATGTTGGCAGGCCTGACTAGGTGTGAATTTAAAGCACAGCAGCTACTCCTGATGTGGACACACAGATAATGACTCAGGAACAGCTCCTGTGCAGACAAGCACTAAATTCATTCTTACAAAAACCTCGTCTTGGAGGGACAACCATGTTAAACCTTGTGAGAGGGCTACATATTATCCCCATTTTACAGATGAGGCCACTGAGATAGATTCTAATTTGCCCAAATCAGAAATGGGACTAGAACCTACATCTGACTCTTTGGCCTGTGCTTTCATCACTAGGCTATATATATCATTTCCATGAACCTGATCCAAAATCAGCTGAAATTGCTCATGGAACGAATGCCCTTGATAACAAAAGATTGGATTGGATCAGGCTGTACTAAGTGCATTGCCTGGCTCCAATAATATGTGTATTTTTAGAACATGCTGGGTTCACATCCACTAGCTAACACATCTTAGAGTCCAACTTGCCCTGTGAGATTTTAGCTAATGTGGCTTGAAAAAAGATACCTTTATCTTCATCGAGGCCATCCCTAAAAATGTTGACAAAGGAGCCTGCCTCTGGGGAACTTTTGTTTTGGAAAGACTCCGGATATATGACCTAATTTCTAAATTAATATTCCCACAGTGTCAACAGTCCCAAAAAGTCATCAGGAGCATTCCACAGAGGCTTCGTAACAGGATTTACTGTGTAGTAACAGCAGGGGATTTGAAATCTCCATTACAATACCCTGGCCTTGCGCAAGGTCCTTTGAGGGCTGGTCTATGCACAGTTTTTAGTACTACTTTCATTGTAGAGATTGAAACCAGTATAGTATAAATTTACATATACTGGTTATACAAGCTCCTTTAGAAAACTTGCTTCCATACTAAAAGCTATATCAGTTAGAACATAAGACTGGCCAGACTGGGTCAGACCAAAGGTCCATCTAGCCCAGTATCCTGTCTACCTACAGTGGCCAATGCTAGGTGCCTCAAGAGGGAATAAATAGAACAGACAATCGTCAAGTGATCCCTCTCCTGTTGCTTGAAACAAAGGCTAGGGACACCATTCCTACCTATCCTGGCTAATAGCCATTGGGGGGTGGGGGGGAGGGAGGGGCTAACCTCCATGAATTTATCTAGTTCTTTTTTGAGCCCTGTTAAAGTCCTCGCCTTCACAACATCCACCGGCAAGGAGTTCCACAGGTTGACTGTTCATTGTGTGAAGAAATACTTTCTTTTGTTTGTTTTAAACCTGCTACCTATTCATTTCATTTGGTGACCCCCCAGTTTTAAACAGGGATGTGATTTTTCTACTCTTTTCTGAAAATTAACATGCTTCTTGATGTTAGTATTTACAGTATTGCTGAGAGGGACGTATTGTATATCCATAGAGCGACGGCATGTCTAAATGTGAAAGATGTACTGCTTTAATTGTAGCAGTACCACTCCCATGGTATAGCTCCAGTTATATTGGTATAAAGATGCTTTTCCCCCTCAGAGTTATTACTGTGTGGAAAGGGAATAAACAAAATAAATAAATTTGGAAGTGCCTTTCATTGCTATAACTGCACCCTCACTACAACTTACATGGAAGTGCATGGAGACTACCTGTTAGAGAGAGAGAGAGAGAGAGAGAATTCCAACCCAAATTGTGTCTGGTCACATGTTCTAGTAAGGTTCCACTGAGAAAGGGCTAATAGACGGAATAAACATGTTGAATATTGAGCAACATGAGTTATGGAGGGAGATAAATCAATTGTTCATTTAACAGGTTGTTTCACTATTTTAAAATGGGACCTTAATATACAGTGTAGCCAGGCTTAGTGGATATGTCTAGATTAGGAAAAATGTGTGGTAAAAATTGAATTAGCTACTTTGAGGTAGCCTGAGGTCGACCCCTACTGGCTTAACACAGTTGTAATACTGTATGCCAGAACCTAATGTAGATTCAAAGCGGGGTTTCCACTTGAGGTTGGTTGAATTGTTTTACACACTTTTTTGTGTAGACAGAGCTACACAGGTTGAGTAGCACAATCACAGGTTTGAGTACGGTACAGCATGTTAGGAACTTCCTAAAATGAGACTTGTCTCTACACCAATTGGAGCAGTTTACTAAAGGGCTTGTGTTGTCCTCTTTCTAACAGGACTACATCAAAGTGAACTAGGTACCTTTTACTTCTACATGGAGTGGGTAAAGTGCAACTTGCTAGCACCATCTATAACTCACCCTCCTGCAGTCTGCACTGCACTAGGGTGTGGACAAACCCTAATACTTTTTAAAACAGATTTTGCTAACACTGGTGTGTTGTTTCAATTAAGCTCTTGTCTATTGGGAACTGGTTCAACATAAAAAAAAATTAAACTGTCTACACAGTGTGTCTAGACTGGCAAGTTGCTTTTGCGGAAAAACTGCCCAGCTGTCTACACTGGCCGCTTGAATTTCCACAAGAACACTGATGATCTCATGTAAGAAACCAGTGCTTCTTACGGAAATACTATGCTGCTCCCGTTTGGGCAAAAGTCCTTTTGCGCAAAAGGACCAGTGTAGACAGCTCAGATTTGTTTTGCGCAAAAAAGCCCCCATCGCGAAAATGGCGATCAGGGCTTTTTTGCGCAAAAGCATGTCTAGATTGGCACGGACACTTTTCCGCAAAAAGTGCTTTTGCGGAAAAGCATCCGTGCCAATCTAGACGATCTGTTCTGAAAATGCTTTTAACGGAAAACTTTTCCGTTAAAAGCATTTGCGGAAAATCCTGCCAGTCTAGATGTAGCCAGGGGTTTTTACCAACTTAACTAGATCAGTTTAAATTCACATCCTAAATTAAGCCAGTGCCATTTTCTTGTGCAGAAAAGCCTTATATCTGTTTCAAAGCACATGTAGATATTGCTAAATTAATTTGAATGACTTAAAATTGATATGAGACAAACAGGTTTAAGCGCATTCACACACTAATTTTAAATGGGTACAGCTTCTATGGAGACAAAGTAAATACTCACAGTTCAGGTAATTACTTGACATTTTTTCACTCCCTTTTAAACAGATTGGAAGAGAAGTACTTATATGTATTCTTTTCTCCCTCTTTGTGAACTGTGTTTATCTGAAGACAGACAACATTCTGGAAATGTCACTGAAACTAACTTGCTTCATCTGAACCTATGTTAAAGGCATGAAGTCTCTCAGGTGATTTTTAACAGCTATAGCACACTTTCTAAGTTAGCTTTTAAAAATATAATTATTTTTGTCTAACACACATATGGGATGTGATTATTTTATAAAATGGGGATTAATAATTCCTAGGTAGGGATTAATAATTCACCCCACAGATGTGTTTTGCATGGCTCGTTTTGGAATTACCACCATCTCTTGGTGTAGTTGAAGTCCCAGTTGTATAATCTAAAATATCGCTAATGAACCCTGAAGGAGCCAGGTCGCTTCACAGGACCTATAATTTTTTTTATAAAGAGCTGGAGTGCATTTGTGTGCCCCATGCATGTTGAATTTAGGACAGCTTTCCATTCTTATCTCAATGTTCACATTTGTTCTGCAGATCACCCTATTTAAAAAAGGCTGTAAATGCATTGTGAGACTCAATTCCCTCTCTGAGCCTAACTCCTGCAGCAAGTTTCATGAAACCGGCTGCTTCCTACAGTGGATTAGCTCAGTGGACAGATTTTCTTTTAAAAGTCCCCGGTGGCCAGGGACAAGCCCTTCTTTTCAAAACAGCTGGCATTTAAATACCATTCAGGGCATATCTATACTTACAATGCTGTACCGGCATGGCAGCAATGCATGTGGAAATGATGCTTGACATAGAGTTGTGCTCATAAGCACTTATACCAGCGTTAGTTACGGCGCTCAGGGAGCATGGAATATTCCCGCCCCGAATTACACAAGTTTTGCGGATAGATGTGCTAGTGTAGACGTTGCCTGAAAGAGCCAGATTCTCACCTGGTGTGAGTCAAACCTAGCTCCATGGAAATCAAGCTCACTTTCTTGAAGTTTCCAGTGCTGATTTATAGCAGCTGGGCATCTGGTCCAGTATTGGGAGCTATCTACACGTTCTGTTTAGAAAAATTGGTAAAAGGACTGGAGGTGTAGGGGGAGGGAGAGAAGAGAAATCCCTCCCGTCCCCCATAGGTGCTAGGTGGCTTTCATGTCATTTAAAAATACGTTCAAACTGCAGCAATTTAAGATGTATCGTGAGGTAATTCCCTTTCCCGCCCTGGTAGGGGGAAAACCCGTGAATTTCTCACCCCTTGGGGCCACATGCTGAATTTAGCTGCAGTGGTTTCATTGTAAGAGGTGCAGAATCTTTTTGTAGATAAACCCCACAAGTCAGATCCTGAGCTGGTGTAAATCCACCTCGCTCTCTAGATCTTTGCAGCCTTGAGATTCTATTACTACCCCTTCCTACAGGCCAGGGTCTGCTGCGTAAGGGCCGGCTGAAAATCAATCATAAATTTCTTACCTCTAAACCCATTTCCATTGCCACTAGAGCAGGCAGGGGAGGGAGACCCTTGGGGTCTGATGACAGGAGCAAAGGCACTCTTCTGTTTGACAGCAGGAAAGACGGAGGAGGAGAATGGAAGGATGGAAGAAGCGCTGGAAGAGCCAACGGTTGGACTTGAAGACATTACTGAAAAATTAAAAAAAAAAAAACCCTCTTCAGCAGTGGAATCAATAAGAAGCTAGGTAAAATTGCTTCAGCTGGTCATACATTGTTTTCCCACCTTGATTCAGTTACGCATGTGTAAAAAGACTACTAATAAACTGATCCTATACCCTCACCTGATAGAGACCTCTAAAACAGCTGCAATGTTATTTAATATGACTGCTTTCATGCAAATCCTATAAACACAGTTTAAACACAGTTTTTCTAAGATAAAATTAAATATAAGCTCGAGCAATACTGTTTTCAAGGGAGAGCTGAAAAATGGCAGAATAATATCCCAGAGCTGTTACTATAAAGAAGCTACGGAGAATAGTGATTTTTTACTCATGGGTTGTATGAAATGTACACGCCTATAGGAAACAACAAATGCTCTGCTGCTAAATAAGTTGATAGAGGGGATTTAATAATAACAACGCCCGCTTCCCAAAATGGAAAGTTTTAAATAAAAAGTGTAAAATCAAATGAAATGAAACCTATTTGGTTTTTAGTTTTCTCCACTGGAAGAGGAGGGCAAATCTAATAAACCATCTTGTTAGTCTTTAAAGTGCTACATAGTCCTGTATTTTGTTTCATACATAAATCTCAACATTTCTCATTTAAAAAAAAATTAATAGGACTAGAAACACCTCTCCCCTTTCAAAAAGCCCCGCAGCATTATGTTAACCCTGCAAATATGAAATGGCTTCATGGTTGCCATCCAGAAATAAACAATCTGCAAAATGAGGCTTTGTTACTTTGCTGAGATGTTAGTAGGTAACAAGGGGTAACAAATCTCTGTTTGAAGGAGCCCAAAGAATTCAGACTTAAACAAGGTACTCGTTTAAAATAACTGCAGCAAAATGGTGAGCGGCCCAATCCTGTTCCCACAGACGTCACTGGCAAAACTTCTCATTCACGAAACAGGGAATTGGCCCTGGATCCACCTGGAGGTGGTGTGTATCATTTTTAGACTCAGTGTCAGTGCTATTAGAGCCGTGATTTCTTTTCAAGCACCCAAAACTGGGATTGATTCAAAGATTTCACGGTCAGAATGCACCTTTATGATCATCTAGGCACAGGACACAGGACAAGGAGTGATATTCTAGATTATTCACAACTGCAGAAATGCTTTGCACAAGAAGAGCTACATTCAGCCACGACGTTTAAAATACCCCACAGGATTCTGCTCAGCCTCCCTCCATCAATGTGAGGGAAAGCAACTCTCTTTGTTTTTTACAGATGAGGAAATGGAAGCACAGAGATGGGAAGTGACAGGGAAAGTCAGCAGCAGAGCCAGAAGTGGGTTCTGACTTCCAGACCCCTCCTCTAACCCTTTGTCACTCATTCATAGTCAACATTAAAATGAAACTCGGCAGGAACGCTGTTTCCGTTACCGCTAATTCGATTCATGTATTGTTTTCATGGGGATTAAGTGACTTTAAATGTATCTTTTACAAGTAATTCAGCATGGATTATGTGATGATACTGGTGGAGCTGCAACTTGGCAGAGACCAAAATGAAGCAAATACCCTCTTGGCTTCACACACGGCCCTGCTCACAGATTCACAGCTGGAATTTACCCCACATCTATTTCTCTCGGAGACGAGAACATTTGCTTTAGTTAAGGGGTCTGTCAGCATTTCATTATAAACCCCTATTGTCAAGGGTTTATAATTCAGCCATAAAATTCTCTCTCTCCCTCTGCTCAAACTTGGCACGGAGAGCGCAGCCAGGGAAGTGAAGGCTGTATGTAAAAATCTGAAAAACATCTGTTTGGCCATTTTGGAATTCTACTGACACAAAAACAATGGAAGATGCAAGTTTTTTTTAATATGGATGAAGAAGGGGTTCACGTGTGTAATTCAAAAGGAGTTTAAATGAAACTGTGAACCTTTCTATTTGAAATAGAGCCTCATTCCATTTGAAATGGCAAAACAAATAGCAGTTGCAGACTCATGATCATTTTTTATACGGGGCTGTACTGTGTGCATGATGTATGTTAAGCATAATTTCATAGCACGTGTGTGTGTATTAGCACAGTCATTTATTAGTTCCCAGTTGTGCAGCCCTTTACACATAGGAACCCACAGAAATGGGATAAAGTCATAGCTAAGTGATGATTGTCTGGAATGATGCAGTTCTAGGCTCAGGCTGGAGCAATCCTGTGTAATTTGATTTTTTTTCCCCCAAAATTTAAATGTAGCACTGGCTTGACAGACCTGGAGACTTAAGTCTGCATTTTATAGTTGGGTGGCTTTAAACAAGCAGGTAGCATATGGCGATAGTAATATAAGCTTCCCCCACCACTATGCCCCGGTCCTGTTTGGACCAACGTTCCCTTTGATTTTTTCCATCTCTGTGCAGAATAAATTTTGTTATGGGAACCACCGATAGAAACACATGCAGCCGGCACACTGCCAATCAGCTGGGTGGCAATTTAATCGAAGTTGTGGGCATGGGCAGCTATCCAGTAGACAGGGAACACTGTTAGGGACAAGAAGAGTAAATTAGCATTCACTGCTCATTCAACTCTTAACAGGGATGGAGGGTTGGATTGCCAAAGGTGCTTCCAACAGAGTCAGGTGCTTAACTCCCATCTACTTTGCAGTATGTCTACACTGCGACTGCAAGGGGTGACTTTAGCTCAAGGAAACCTAGCCAAGCTCAGGTGGGTATTGGAGCAGTGAAGCTGCAGAATTGTGCACGTCAGGGCTATCCACGCCGACCTGGAATGCAGAATGTTCACTGCCTCAGCTTCACTGCCTAGGTACCCGAGCTTGGTGACAGCCCCATCTGCATCTGGGCCTGCATGCAGTGCCTCCACATGGTCGCCAAGCGGGGCCGTGCCCCCAGCTCTCCCGAGCTGGTAAGAGGGCAGCCGGGGCCTGCTCTGCAGGGAGCGGGGTAGGAGCCCAGCAGCTGGAGGGGTGGGGCCCAGGAGCTGAGGGGCAGAAGGTTAGAAGTGGGCTCTGTTGGGTGAGGGGGTAAGGGACACCGGCTCCATCCCTAATCTCTTGGCAGTTACAAGAAGAAGTGGGGTGCTGTCGGATGGAGTTGGGGACCATCAGGGGACTCAGTGAGGTGGAGGTGAGTGGAGGGCCGTGGCCCCTTCGTGGTTACAGGAGAAGGTGGGGCGCTGAGGGGCTGGAGAAGCAGAGGGAGTAGCGGGGGTTGTTGCCCTGGACACCAACTTCCAGAGGGCACCATACTGCCATGTTACTTGGCTTTGGTTTTTTTTACTCTGCTTTTCGGCTACCTGGTCTGATTCATTATTTTTTCTCAGTGGCTGGGGTTGGGGAGGACAGGCACCAAAAATGTTTTCTGTTCTGGATGGCCAAAGAACTAGCTCAATTCCTGTGAACGCTAGCTTGGATATGTCAACATGAACTGCAACCACACCCTGCTGTGAAAACGTACCCTGAATGTGACCGGGGTGAATAATTCCCTTGGGCTCCTTTCAAAGTCCCAGGAGGAACACCTAGAAGGTCTCATAGAAATGACTCCAAAAACCTAACCCACCTCCAAAAATTATAATGGACGTTTTACAGCCATCTTCTTACGGAGCAGGGATAAAAATCTGAATGTCTAGATGTGATTTTTTTCTATGGCATTATTTCGGACAAGGAAGTTTTTGGCCTCTGTTGAGATGACCAGGGGATGAGAAGGATATGGCAAATTATTAAGTCTTGACAGGTGCCTCACATGTAAAGTTAAAGGCTTTGAGATCCTCAGTTGATAGACACTGTAAGTGCAAAGTTTGATCCACAGGCGGCTTAAGCAAAAAACCCCAACTGTCAGTTACAAAAGAGGAGGACACTTACTTCCATAGGGAGATCCTGTTGGAGAGCCATTAATGAATCCGGGTGAGCTGGGAACTCCCAGGTTAGACATCGGGACGTTGCTGTAACCGTTCATGCTATTACTGGAAGCGCTATAATTAGACTGCTGAGGTGTTGAACTGGAAGAGTAACCTCGAGGGGAGATGCTGCTTGTATTACGAATGTAACCTAAAAAAAAATTAAGCATTTCACTGTGAGTCAGTGAATATAGCCTAAAACTTTCCTCTATTTTTCCTGCCTGAAAGAAATCCTTTGAAATTGCTCTTTTAGACCCAGATTCAACAAAACACTTCAACAAATTTCATTGATTTAATGGAGCTGTTTTTAAATGCTTTTCTGCTTTGCTGAAACAGAGCCTAAAACACTAACAGGAATTTGCATTTTTGAGGCTGTGGGTGTATTTTCCTAGTCAGATTTGATTGTTTAAAACATGAAATTGTAGTCTAAGATATGAAAAAAATGAGTGAGTTCATCTTTTAATGGTTTTGTAATTTATCTGGGTTTTGCTACTATATGTGGCTTGTGGTTTTACTTTCCAAATAATTACCAGTTAAAAATAAAGTACCAAAATGGATTAGTAATGGGAAACTACAAACATTTGTGCAGCCACTTATAGACTCAACCTTTAAATATACTCTTTGCTTCTTGCTTCACTTTGTGGGTGTGTCTAGACTACATGCCTCCGTCGACGGAGGCATGTAGTTTAGACGTACCCTGTGTGAGAAAAGATTGGTCATGTAAGTCAGAAAAAATTAGCCCAACTTGACCAGTAGGGACAATGGTTGGAAATACTTTAGGAGCAGGTTTTAGTCTTCCCACTCACCCCCCATCAAACACAATTTCAGTGTTCACAAATGACTGGAAAAGAGAGGAATGAAGTAAATTCAAAACCAGGTTTTTTTATTTTAATTTTAAACTCCAGGTTATTTTTCAGTAAAGAAACTTCATTAGAATTTCATTCAGCTCTAATTTAATGATAGTTTGTTACAATTTAGAAATCAGTGGATTTTACTAGGAGATTTAGTCCAGGTAAATTAATAAAGGACTCACAAATCAGTATGAACAATTATGGGTTTTTTGCATATTACATTATAGAGATTGTTAATGCTTCCGGATAGCCAGGTTAAATCAATGTTAAGACCTTACTGCCAATCTGTGTAAAATTACCTTTCTAATTACATTTGGCAGGATATACCTGGACATAAGTTCATATGACATGACTTTCACCTCCCAGGGGGACATTGTGTCCAACTAATTGTACATTCAAGCTACCCAGATTGTATATTATAGGAATCTGGTGTTAAACTGAGAAATCAAGCACTCCAGTCAGGATATTCCAAAAGTTTAAATTGCTCCCATGATGTTAGCTTTGCTGTGCTGCATGTATTTTATGGCATGCATTACCAACAATGGCACATTAAGGTTCATATTCAACAAGGAAAACAGCAATAGTAAATACATGCAATTTGGCAAAGTTGACATCGTAGAAGAAACAATTAACTTTTAAAAATACTCAGCCCCTTCCCTCAATGGTAGTAGATGTATTTACTGTCTTGATATTTTCTGAGGGCATGGATATGATTCAAAAATGTGGATTAGAATGGAAGTTGGAATTCTGCCTTACGTTTAACAAAAAAAAGACTGTGGATACAAATTGCAAATGCTCCTAAATTCTAATGACTTCAGTGAAAATTAGAAGCTGAAGTCTCATTTTCAAAAGTGACAAACTCTTGAATTTAACTCACTTAGGTCCTTTGAAAATGTTGCCCTATGTTAAAAATGTCTCCCTCTTCAAATCTGCTCCAAAATCCATTGACGTCAACAGACTTCAGATCAAGCATTTACGTATCAGATCTGCTCTTTGCACTTTTTCTGAGAACACTTATTTCAAAATCTGTACTCCTGATTTTCTCAAGGAATAATGCTAATTTCGAAACTCACCTGTCCAGTTTGCTAATGTGTTGCTGGGTGTTAAGAAGGCCATACATCTATTTTTAAGCTGAGCTGACGTTGAAGTTGAGAGACCAACATAGAAAGGGATACCCCCAACTCTATTTTTACAATCACATTTTAGGGTAGAGTTTTGCACTTTGTGCAAACATCACAATGTACATTACCTTGGTTGTTCCCCTGTGTTGACTCTGAGATGCTGACTCCTAACTGGCTCCCATAGGAGTTGATTCCCATCATGCTGCTATGAGCTGGAGAACTAGACAAAGCAGGGATCTGGCCGGGATTTCTTGGGACGCTGTACAGAGCTTCTGCTATGTCTGCAGCTCGCTTCAGAATAATATCCTACATGACAGCAGCAGTCTAAAGTCAATCTCACTTCAGGAAACTTTTACAAAACCTTGAAAAGTTTCCACCTACCCCCCAGACCCCAAAAGAAGTCACTCTAACCTGGTTATTATGTGGCGTTCCATACAGTGCTTCCACGAGGTCAGCTGCTCTTTTCAACAGCATCTCCTAGGAGAGGAAGAGATGGTATCATTCAGATCCCCCTAAAGAAGGATAATTTGCTGCCCTGATTTGTGGTTTGAAATAAAACCCAGGACCAATGTTTTCTAACCAGTCTTTTGGAAGGTCCAACTTAATACCCCTCGAAAGAGCCTTGTTTTCAAAAAGTGTTGACCACCCACCTATGGAAAAAAAATCAGGCCCCCTTCAGGAAAAGTTTTAGCTACATGTAAAGGCATCAACCGATCCGTTTTATACATTAACTGATAAGTGCTTCATCCTTCTGTCTTGGAGCTCTCCATAGTCCTGAAATTGCTCTTCAGAACATTGATTATAATCAGATTTCAGGTGGGGTTTTCATAACCACCTAGTTGAAATACGAGCTTGGGTCCCATTGACTTTCTCCGGGACTTATGTTCCTTACTCAGGCACTTTTGAAACGTATCCTTTAAATAACACACATGCTTTTTTCCCTCAGTAATTGTAATAAACAATTAGGATTCCTCCAAGTCCTCTTACTGTGTTCCAGACAGCTGTGATTTATCAACTCTGATGATAATAGTAATTATTTAAAAAATGTCCTATCTTCTTTCATCAGGCAAATTATTCAAAATGCTGATTACTTTTAAATATAATCAGAAATTGGGTGTAGATTCTTCAATGGAAGGGTCATGCCTGGCTATTATTATTTTTTTTATTGGTATTGCCATAGTGCCTAAGTGCCCCAGTCATAGACCACAATCCCATTGTGCTAGGTGCTGTACAAACACATTATAAATGAATCTGGTTCCTCACAGTTTCAGAGCAAGCAACCTTAAACCTTTCCTGCTGTGATTCTGCTGACTGGCCCCCTGAAACTACAGGATCCCTGCATCTGCATAGCTTCTTTAAGAATTCAATGGGGTGCCACGTGAGCAAAAGGTCTTCTGGCATGGAAAAGGGCAGCAGACTATAGCTATGGTCTGGGAGGACGTCTGTAATGCTAGGTTCCCAGCTATGGAACTGATTCTCCTCCAGGCAATAAAAGAGATTCTGCATGCAAGACACGGGCTGTACTGGTTGGATCTTACTTACCACTCTGTGCTTTATTATATATCAGCAGCAAAAAGGAAAGTTGCAGCTTTTCAATGAGGGGTTCTGATTTGGACCCCAAATTAATTGGTACACAAGGGAGAATTATCATTAAGGGTAATGGTATTAATGGCTTTTACTTAATGTTTTAGAAATGAATGAAAACCATTTAAAAGCTTTCGTGAAATGCCAGCAAATCTTTTACCTTGGCTAGTCTCTCGGGGTCACCAGGGTGCCTTGGGATGACCTTCTGCAGTCTCTGGAAACCATAATCTATAGTGGGTTCATTTAAAGCTGGAAAAGAAAAGTAACCAGACATGAATGTGAGTCTTCGACAACTGCTGCTTAAAAAAAACACACAATACAAAACACAAAGCCATGAGGTATATTCTGCAGGAGCATGATGCAAATCCCATTGATTGCAAAGGGGAAACTCTGATTAGAACAACCAAACCCCACAGTGTCCTTAACATAATAACAAATTGGCCATATTTAAGGTGTCATTGTGTCTTGGATTACGTGCCATACCGGACAAAACAAGGCCATTAGAGCACCTTACATGTAAGAATCTTTTTCAACCGTAATCCTCATTTTATAGCTGGGAAACCGAGGCATGGAGATGCAATTGATTTGGTCTCCTGCCTCCCAATCCTCCACTCTGTTCATTGAATCAAATAAATGGGGTGTGCCATTATTTGCATTGTAAACTACCTGGTGTTTATGAACAATCCTACAGTATCGCTTTAATCTGTTGCCTAAAAAAGCGTTATAATGATATCTTGCCGACTGCTTTGTCGACAGAACTCCGTAGTCTGGACGCAACGTTACAGGCAATAACACCTTCTGTCGACAGAGTTCTGTCGAAAGAAGGTGTTATGCCTCGTAAAATGAGGTATACCAGCATCGACAAAACTGCTGAGTTCTGTCGACGTTATGTCGACAGAACTCAGCGGTAGTGTAGACGCTGGTATAGTTTTGTCGACAAAAGTCCACTTTTGTCGACAAAACTAGGTAGTCTAGACACACCCTTAGTGCTGGGAGAACACAGCCCAAATGTATCATTCCAATATACACAAGAGAAGTGAAGTAACATACTCAAGCCTTTTTTGCATTCACTTCCTGAAAAATTTTCTAGCAAACACATTCAAGCCGGATGGTTGATGCAAACAGCAAGTTTTAAGTGGAAGTTGCACACTATTTGCAAAGTATCTAAGTGAGTGTTCACAACAGTAACATAACTGTGATCAATTAGGACTTGTACAATCAGTGAACAAAAAAATATGACTTGTGTGTTTAAAATTAGAGTTGTGTTAGAACCAATTTTCCCATATTCTGAGAATTTGAGATTTTTGAGGGATTTTCCTGTCCCGAAAATCAACATTTTTTTGAGAGCCAAAAAAATGTCAGTGAAGGTTAGTCTTTTTGATCATTGTCAAGTATTTCATTTGGATTTTAACCTTTTTTTAAAAAATTAACCTTTTTTACATAAATTAAATTTCAAAAAAGTCCTTTTTAAAAGTCAAAACAGGACCTTTTTTGACAATTTCAAAACTATTTTTTAAAAATCTGAAGCATAAAATTAGTCAAAACCGACCTTTTCAAGCAAACAGTTTCTATTCTAGTAAGTGGAGGGCACTTTCTAACAATAACAAAAAAACCCCACATGGCCAGAAAATTCAGAACAGCTCAACTTACAACCACCCCAGCCTCAAACACTGACTGATAAATCTGCTCATAAGAAAAGTATAGACCTGGAATTTGGTGACTAATTTTAAGCTGTAATAAAGGAGATCTGTTGAGAAACTCTTCACTAGGCTCTGAGTCATTAATCTGAGCAAAGATGATCACCATGCTGTTATAAAATGCAGAGCAAGATACATGGGAAAACAAACTATAAAATCAAACTAACAAGGATTCAGGTAACGGTCTTTACAGGTGACTACACTTTCACTGAGCAAAGAGTAGTCTAGGGCAATGTTCCCTCTAATTTTTTTCCATTCAATGTGTGGAATAAATTTTGTTATGTGCACCAAGGCATGTGCAACTATGCACCACCAGTAGAAACACATGCTGCTGGCTTTGGCACTCTGTTAATCACCTGGGTGGCCTTGGACTCTCTCGTAAGTGGCCACCCAAGCACTCAGCTTACAGGGAGCACTGGTCAAGGATACTGGTCAAGGATACACCACAAGCCTGGATGAACTGAATCTGCCTTGTATAGCTTAGGCAGAGGGGCTAAAAATAGCAGAGTGTATAGTTGGGCTTAGGTTGGAGCCTGGGCGCTGAAACCCCAGGCTCCAGCTCAAGTGTGAGCATCTATATGGCTATTTGGAACCCCAAAATCTGAGCCCAATAACCATAGTCAATTGAACCAGGCTTTGAGACTTGGTGCTGTAGGTTTTTCTTTGCAGTGTAGACGTACCTGTGGAGGCATATCCTCAGCCAATGCAGATTGACAAAGCTCTGCTGAAATCAATTGACTTCTACTAATTTGCACCAGCTACAGATCTGGCCCTTTGATTCTACTCCAGTTTTGTCTGTGAGTGAAGTCGCTTTCTCTGACGTTCTGTTCCTGCCCACCTCTCAGGGTTTTTGTGAGGTTTTTTTGCCTATAGAATCCTCTAGTCAGCCTTGGAATTCAAGGTAGCTGAGCTCTTCGTTTCTCTTCTTCATTGTTACCTGCCACTTTTCGTCCTGTTCCCTCCCACGTGGTGAACGCAACACATCCCACCTCCCTAGGCCTCCTGTGGCTGCCAGAAGAGTTGTCCAACCCCACTGAAGCTACAGATTGAACCTGCGTGCAGTTTCACAGCTCCAGACTCTCTAGACCAGCAGTTCTCAAACTTTTTGGACTCCGCAGGCCTTTACATGTGTAAAAATTTATGCGGAGCCCCAGCGATCCACTGATTGTATGTGTTGTACTTATGTGGAACCCCAGCGATCCACTGATTGTATGTGTTGTACCTATCGATGTTTCCAGTTTGTCATCCTCACAGAGCCCCAGGAGATGTCTTGCGGAGCTCTGGGGCTCGTCGGAGCACAGTTTGAGAAACACTGCTCTAGACACATAACCTTTGGCTAATATATTATTGCTGGCACCAAGTTCCAACTCGTTACTACTAGGAGGAGGAATGGGAGGAGGAAGGTGACAGAGGATATCTGGAAGAGAGGCAGGGCAATTTTAACATTCCTGATCTGGTTTCTCATTCCCCACTTCAACACCTTCCTATGTCTATCCTTCTGCACTAGTCAGTATCCTAACACTTGAGCCGATGCCCATTAAATGCTTTGTGGTTGTCAATTGAAAGACAAAGCATTGCAGCCCAAACTATCAAAAGCTAGAGGTGAGTTTGGATGCCAACTCTAAGGCCTCTACTGGGTGACTTTCAGAGAGTGGGTGCTAAGTATGTTCTGGAAAATCAACTCCTTTTAGGTGTCTCAAGTCAGGAATTCAAAAAAAATGCCCCACAAAATCATGAGCTACTTCTGAAAACTGAAGACTACAAAGTGGTAATTCTTGTTGAGACACTTTGGCTATGTCTACACTACAGGGTTTTGCCGGCAGAGAGTATGCTAATGAAACATTCATTAGCATACTCTCTGCCGGCAAACCCCTGTCGAGTAGACATAGCCTTTGTGTGGGGAAATAGGCCTCCTATGAAACCTTGTTTATCTAAATGCCAGCTGTCCCAACCTTGATGATCCAAAATTTAACACTGTTTCCCCACCTTCAAATTTGATATTAAAAACAATCACTGATCCCCCTAAATCTCTGAGGGTATGTCTAGATTGCATCGCTTCAGGATATGTCTAGACAGCATCCCTCTGTCAGCAGAGGGATGCAGATTAAGCAAGTCGACATTGCAAATGAGTCAGGGATGTAAATATCTCATGCCTAATTTGCATAAAAATGGCCACCGTGTTTTGCCGACTCAGCACTTTATCTGCAAAAAGTGGAAGTCTAGAGGGGGATCTGTCGAGAAAGAAAGCCTTTTTCGACAGATCCTGTAAACCTCCTTGCAGGAGGCATAAGAGATCTGTTGAAAAAGGCTTTCTTTCTCGACAGATCCCCCTCTAGACTTCCACTTTTTGCAGATAAAGTGCTGAGTCGGCAAAACACGGTGGCCATTTTTATGCAAATTAGGCACGAGATATTTACATCCCTGACTCATTTGCAATGTCGACTTGCCTAATCTGCATCCCTCTGCTGACAGAGGGATGCTGTCTAGACATATCCTGAGAATCCAAAGTCTTTGGCTGTCTCGGAAACAGGGTTTGCTAATAAAATTAAGGATCTAGCTTTTGAAAGAAAAAACTACTTGAGGGTGGAGATGGGATTTAAATGAGAAACTTACTCAACCAAGGACTGAGAAGTTTGCTAAAAATGCCTTGTTCCGTTGAATGACCCACATGATTAATGTGTCCTTAACTCATCTGGCAGATTCACCATCCAGTGGCAGCTGCTTTCACTCTCTTGTGCCACTTGTACCTGTGAAAATGGTGCTACCTGCACAGCGGAAATGGTTTAATACTATCCAGCACTGAATTCCTTTACCAGCAGTACTCAGCACCTTTCTGAATCAGAGAGTCAGGCATTAGAACATAGGTTCCCAAATTCCGGGGGGGAGGGCGCAAGGTGACCCAGTCTCCCCATCAAGTCTTGCTGCCCTGCTCAGTTCCTTTTTTTGGTGGGGAGTGTGAGGGTTTTTCAAAAATCAGAAAGGGGGGCATGATACTGAAAAGTTTGGGAACCACTGCATTAGAAGAATGAAACCATCAAAGTGACACAGAATATTACTTGGCTCCAGATTTTCCGCGTATTTGTGTCTGTCTTTGGTATAACACCATGAAGGTAAAAGGTCATATTCCCCACTGAGATACATTTTATATTTACTTTTTATTAAATAATTATGGCATGGCATGAAGTTTAAATATTACAGGAGCTAATCAAGAGGGAATTGAGTAGAGAAAACCCAGACCAGAGAATTTAGTCTTGTCTATACTTAGAATGTCTTTGCTCTCCACTGGGAACCATTCAGGTTTGCTTAAGGAGTTTAATAATACACATTTCAACTGCCACAGAATCTAAATCCCATTTGAGAAAAGGGGGATTTTTTTTTTTGCCAATCTTGAGAATTTGTGACAATTCTCTGAAGGGCCTATACATCATTATGAGCCATCTCTCTTACTGCTTGAGAGTCTACTAGTTTGGGTTAGGAATGTTAAATATGAGTTAATTGAATAGTCGAGTAACCTCATGAATTCTTATCGGTAACTTGACTATTCTATAGTAC